GTGTAATACACTCACACGTAGGTTTTTACGTCATTACTGGCCGAAATTGCAGCTCCCGAGTATCCATCAGAAAGCACACGATGGACTCTGTGGGAGTCACTGATGAGGTGAAACCCCTCGTAGTTGTCTTATGCAGCGATATAAACGTCTAGGCTTTTCGCTGGCATTTGCGTTGTCATTATGGGGATTACCGTAGCATGTTATTTCTGGCGTTGGCAAACTCTACAGTAGGCTTTTTTACTGGCATGTACGTGTAGAACCGAAAAAAGTGTTGCTGACTGAATTTCTGGCGAGCATGTGACCATAAGTGATGCGTGCTGTCTTATCAATCATTGTCGTAGCTATGTGTGGGACTAACTAAAACCACGCGCTTGTTGAATATGCGGACAAGATGAGCAGGGATGGCATTTGTGCGAGCCTCGTCGCGCGGATTCTAGGCACTGATTCTCTAGCCAAGCTGCGATGGATGTACAGACTTACGACTCGGTCTATGTGTGATTGAAATGAGAGGTCACGACGGGGACAAGTCATTGCTGGCGATTATCCTTAGTACCTTGGACGTGGCTGTGACCCTGATCGGATCACTGAAAGGCGATTTTATGGTGAGGGCAGATACGGTATTTCCTTTAGTGATGGCATGCGTTGGTTGGTCTTGTTGACATTGCAATTGGTTCAACAAGGACCGTCCGACCCCTGGCTAAGGGATGACAGTATGTCCTTATTGGCAAGAAATGTGCGCTGGTGGCATTGATATTCGACATGCGTGTCTGACGTATGTGTAATTTTACTATGACCCGTATTGGCTTTTAAAATAGTTACTTCATTTTATTACGGCTGTTCGTCTTGCTCGCAGTGTGTGCAAGCCTTTTACGGGTATTTTGGTCTTGTGTTTGTTTGCAGCGCTTCTTTTGGCCACCTTGTTTGTGAGTGCCCCTAGTGATATTAGCATAGAGGAGTTGCTTAGGCAGGTGTCCCTTTGTACTTAGAGCTGTTTCAACATGACACCTTTGTTCTGCATTTCAGTCGACTCTAGGATCTGAGCGTTCAGAATCCGTTGCCTTCTCTTTACTTTTATACTTTTTTCCAGCACAATCTAGATATATGTGTAGATATATATGTTGGCTTCGCTAGATGGTCCGGACCTACATATATGTCGTAGAGCTGCGTTACTTATATGGAGGTCAGGAACGAAATTATCTGGCGCTTATTTTAAAATTGGGTGTCCTCTTTTTCATTCTTTATGTCGGCCTTGCTAGAAGAAGAAGAAGAAGAA